CTTAAGGTGGGAGTGTGCACTCAGGAAGCCGGTGACCCGCCCTTACGGGGAAGTCCGACGTGACGAAGCAGAGTGGGGGGTTGCAGAACACGCTGACCCCCCCCCCCCCCCCAGTGCTCACTCACACGCAGCTTTTAGCAGACGCTATGGGCCACCGCAGCCCCGGGATCGACTCCATTAGCCCATGGATGCTGGTGGTTTGCTGTGTCTCCTGAGTGTGGGGCCTACAGCGCCGCCCTTCAGGAGAGACATGCCCCATCTTTAAGCAGAAAGAGAGGGTGTATCCCTGATGCTTCTGTTAAGGCCCGGCTGCCGCGTAGCCGACGGTGGCAGTGCAGTAATGGGGGGGTGGAACCAAACATCTGGACCGGTGTGGTGGAACCAAACATCTGGACCGGTGTGGTCACAGCACCGAAAGCTGGCATTCTAATTAATAACAGATACAGGGCTGCTGTCTTTGAAAGGCACCCAGGGCATGAAACCCAAACTGATGGGACATGGGATCGTGAAGGAGGAGATCAAAGGCGAACCAGAATGCCACATCCAGCGGGGGTGGGGGGGGGGGGCTGTTGTCCTCTGGGGTCTCCCACCCATCCCTTCGTTCGGCTGGCGAAAGCCGTCGCTAATCAGCTGTAAATCCAAACCAGCTGGGCCCCCCCGATTCGCTCGGCTCTGCTGCTCCGTTGTCACAGGGATGCGGGCCGGTGAATGTCAGACCCCCAGTCTCCCACGGCGCCCCCCGCTGGCTCGCTGCGCCATTCCAAGCGAAGACGGCAAAAATAAGGGATTTCTGCATGCAGAGGCCATTCGCGGATTTGGAAATGATGACCGACGGAGAGGCTTGGCTGCGCTCTGAGGTGTTCTTACGCCGAGTGAAGGGTGTCCAAGGTTTTTGGGCGGCTGAAATTCTGCCAGCGGGGGGGGCCGTGTTTCGACACGTTTTCCGACGTGAGAGAACAGACTTTGGGTGTGGTCATGGTGGAGCTCATTCCGTAAAGGACTCTGTAGCTGTTTTGTGCTTTAAACAACCTCAACAAAACACACAGTCGTTTTTCACTTGACCTCACCCTCGTGGACCTGTGGCATCACGTCCTGGGAGCTGGACGTTCATTTGTGGATGCGTCCATGTGGAAATATTCATGGCCGCGTCCTTCGGGCTCCGCTGGCGTGTTTATCTGCGGTGAGACGTGCTTTGCCACACTGGAACGGAAGGATCCCTGCAGGAGAATAAGGAGCAGCTCTGCCGGTCCAGCAGGGGCAGCGGAGGGCAGCCTGAGTCCGGCCGACTCCAGCCATCACGCTGACCACATTTAGCTCCAGTTCGTCTGGCAGGGATGCCCCTGCCTGTTTTGCTCAGTGGCTTCACAAAAGGTTTTGGGGATTAGCAGCAGTTCAGGTCCAGAAAATAAAAATCCAAACCAAGATTTTGTTTCATCCAACCAGTTGAGTTACCCTGTGACTGACTCTTCATACTCAACTATGAAGAGTCAGTCACAGGGTAACTCAACTGGTTGGATGAAAGAAAATCTTGGTCTGGATTTTTATTTTCTGGACCTGAACTCCACCTCTTTTTTTTGTTGTTTTTTTGCAGCAAAGCTCGGTACCGCTGGTCTCCACGGCGACCCTTACCCCAGTTGATTCCCAGAAGTTTCCGGCGAGGTACTCTGCTGAAAGCTGCTGGCCCTGTTGCGATGTTCCGGGTTCCGGCTCGGTGCCGCCGGTCCAGTCTGGGCCCGTAACGTATTGCTGAGCAGCAATGCTCCAGCAGGTTCGCTGGGGAACCTGTGCCCAGTTTAAATAAAGGAGCTTTGTCACATAGGATGATGTCACGCAGGGGTGATTCTTCTGCACCTTTGAATTATTCATTCCTGGCCCGTGACACATGTGACCAGCTGTGCTACTGGGTTCTCCTGTCAGTCGGGGAACAGTGCGGGGGGGGGAGGGGGGTTTGGGGGCAGTGAGGTTTTGGTCAAGGTTTATGGCCTGACATCTTGGGACATAACTCTATCTGCTTTTTGAGACCTTACCCAGGAAGTGTTTCTCAAACAACCCCCCCCTCCCCCACCAAATGACCTAAGTGGGATGTGAGGGGTGGGGGTTGCTGCGGGGGGGGGAGGGGTGTGATGCTGTTTCGTAAAGCTCCTATTTGGTGGCAGGTTGTCGGAAGCAGAGGCTCTCACTGCCTCTCTGGACCTTTGAGATCTCACTGCTTAAGGCTCCCAGCACCAGTAGGATGTTGGCTCCAAGGGTGAGTCCCCAGTCTGCTCCATGCCACTGCATTTACCTTTGAGTGCTCCAACTGCCTGTACCACCTGCCGGTTGGAATCACAGTGGTCGGGGGCTGTTTCTCATCGATATCGCCTATCGAGTAGTCAAGTGGGAGGGACTTTGAGGGGGGGGGGGAAACTGAAACATCTGGATGGATTCAAACAGCCAATAGGCTGCAGCCAAACCCAAAAGCTGGGAGCCTGGCATGGGCACCCCTCCCCCCGACCCATAAATGAGTCGGCTTTGGCTTTCAGCTGAGGCTCTGTTCGCTGGACAGTTAGAGCTGCGAGGAACCAGGGGCTACGGAAATGTTTCACATCCCCCCCCCACTCACTATACACGCCCACCAAAGAGGCTCCTGCCTTCATTTAAGGCCCAAGGGGGGGAGGGGGATGTTCAATCAACATAAAAGCTGCACACTGCTCATAATGAAACGCATGTCCCAGTTTGAACTTTTATCTCAAGTTTGTCTGTGGTCCAAGAGGATGGGTGGGGTGGGGGCA